TCCCAGGCCAAGATGGAAAGGGCCCTGGCAGGGAAGGAATAGTGCACGCCCCAACCGTCCTCTAATGGATCATTACAAGGGCCCCAGGTCCCCTGCCAGATAGATATCGCCATGATTGGAGCGGCTGGCTTCTCGCGTTACATCCGCAGTAAGGACAGCGAAGTGTTTGCCACGTCATTACACCAGATCGACAAGCTAATCGCTTATAAGAAAAGGCCCACGGAAAATGAGGAGTTAGACAAGATTCAGAGACAACTACCCGAGAAATACTACAAGTTTGCTGACGTTTTCTCAAAAATGCAGTCGGATATCCTACCACCACACCGGGACTGTAATTATAAGATAGAACTGGAGAACAAGCTCATCTTAGGGTACTCACCCTTATACAAAATTAACGCGGAAGAACTGAAAGCAGCAAGGCAATATATCATAGATAACCTTACAAAGGGATTTATCGTACCGAGAAACGCGCCCTTCGCGTCCCCGATCTTAATGGCAAAGAAACCAGGAGGAGAGTTACGATTCTGCGTAGACTACAGAAAACTAAATATAATTACTAGGAAGGATCGATATCCACTCCCCTTAGTTAACGAGATCATGGATCGACTTGTCGTGCGAAGATATTTAGCAAAATCAACATCCAGCAAGGATTTTATAGGATTCGCATGGATCCTAACTCTGAAGAGATGACCGCCTTCCGAACTCAATACAAGACCTACAAGTATCAAGTGATGCCATTTGGACTTACCAACAGACCCATAACCTTCCAACGCTTGATTAATGATATCTTCTTGGACTACCTGGACCGCTTCATGACCGCCTTCGTTGATGACCTGATTATCTACAGCAATAATGAGATCGAACACCGAGAACATATGAAGCTATTCTTGCAGCGACTCAGAGATGCTAGGCTCCAGGCATCTATTAAGAAGTGTAAATTCCATATGACAAAGACCAAGTATTTAGGCTTTATTATCTCCACGGACAGCATCAAGATTAATCCCGAAAAGACCACTATGATTCGGAACTGGAACACGCCTACCACTGTCAAAGGAGTACAGTCGTTTTTAGGCTTTTGTAACTTCTACCGGAGATTCATCAGGCAGTACAGCAAGAGGGCAAAAACGTTTAATCAATTAATTCGAACGGACGTTTCATTTATATAAGACGAAGACTGTCAGAATACTTTCGAAAATCTAAAGATAGTACTATCTTTCGCCCCCATCCTCTTTTAGTGCGACCCAGGACTGCCTACCAGACTGGAAACAGACGCAAGCGACGGAATAATTTCCAGAATACTGTTACAACAGGATCAAGCAGACCTCCATTAGCATCCAGTAGCCTTTTTTTCGAAGACGATAGCACCTGCAGAAATAAATCATAGAATATATAATAAAGAGATGTTGGCTATTGTCCGATCGCTAGAGGAATGGAGGGCAGAGTTAGAAGGCCTGCGGAAAACGGAACGTTTTGAGATCCTCACGGATTATCGAGCTTTTGAGTACTTGGTGACGACAAAAAAACTAAATGCCTGGCAAGCTAGATGGGCCGAGTTCCTATTCCGCTTCTATTTCCTGATCAAGTATCGACCTGGAAAGCAGAATACGTCAGCAGACGCTTTGACCAGGCAAGACGGACCTGTAGACCAAAAGCATCGTTCTCAGACTTTCTTTCCCAAGGTAGAGGAAGGTGTCTTCCCTAATATTATAGCTTCCCTTAACACGGAATTAGAACTGGTCGATCGTCTCTGAGCTAACTGCGACTCCCACGAGCTTACCGAATTCCGCGAGAAGGCTGCAACAGAAGATTCCGATTGGAACGTGACCAATGGAAAACTATTCTTCCAAAACCGCCTAGTGGTGCCCGATGAGGCCGACCTCCGAGCCCGTTTACTCGATGATATTCATCGGCAACCCTCTACAGCTCATCCAGAAAAAGGGAAAAGTAGACGACTGATCAAAGCCCGATACTGGTGGCCCTCATGGAACAAAGATGTGGACAAATATGTTGATAACTGCTTGATATGCGAACGGAATCACACTTGGAGGGACTTGCCCCTGATTTGCTTCAATCGCTCCTTATCCTGGATCGACTATGGCAACACAGGAATGGATTTCCGATCCCTTCCTCCAGCAAAGGACAGTGGTTACGACAACGTGGTAGTGGTAGTGGATCGATTTAGCAAGCGTGCAGTCTCGATACCTTGTTTCAAGACCATCAAGGCTACCGGGATGGCAAGCCTCTTCTTGCAACGAGTTTACCTCTGGACAGGCCTCCCTGACAGCATAGTCTCGGATAGAGGAGGGCAGTTTATCTCTGAATTCTAGACAGAACTTTGCAAGATCTTAGGAGTGAAACTAAAGTTATCCTCCGGGCAGCACCCACAGACAAACGGGGGAACAGAAGTGGTTAACCAGTATACAGCGCAGCGCCTGCGTCCTTTCGTGAACTATTATCAAGATAACTGGCCGGAACTACTGCCTATGATAGATTTCGCAGCCGCAGCACGACCGCATGAGTCAACAGGAGTGTCCCCATTCTTTGTAGAAAAAGGGTTCGAACTCCGCATGTCCTTCGATTGGCAGAAAGCCTCCGACCCTCAAAAGCTGAAAGTGGAAAGACAGCAAGCAGAAGCCATGGCTTACCGGTTAGAAAAAAATGGGACTACGTGAAGGGTCGGGTTGCCGAAACTCAGCAACGTTAGCAGACCCAGGCAAATCGCTACCGCAGGGAGGTCGACTTCGAGCCAGGAGATATGGTTATAGTAACAACGAAAGATTGGGATCTAGGACGTCCGAGCCGGAAGCTAGGTCAGCAAGTACTAAGACCGTTTAAAATACTAAAGAGGAAAGACCATTCCTACCTTCTCGATTTACCGGAATTAATAAGAGTTTACCCGATATTTGTATCTAAGAAGCTCCGACGTGCGAGCAAGACCAAGTCATTGACAGGACAGATTCAGGACCGCAGGAATCGATTGAAGTTAACGACCAGGAGGAATGGGAGGTAGAGCAAATCCTAGCCTGCCGCCTGCATCACAGGAAACTCCAATATCGAGTGAAATGGACTGGTCACGATAATAATAACACTTGGTATCCTGCGTAGAACTTCAAGAATTCGCCGGCCTTAATTCGCGACTTCCATGACCGATATCCCGATCTTCCAGGATCCCCGTCTCGCTTGGAACTGTGGATAAAGTCTGCTGAAGATGACGAGTTCCTTCCTGACCATCCGGATGATGGCAGACCTTTGAAACCTGGCGGTTGAGGGCAACTGCGCATCGAAAGGGGGGGGGGGGGGGTGGTAATGTGATGTTCTGAGCGTGTAGCAACGCCCTACACTGTCCCACACAGTGGGTGCTTCATGCAGTAAATTGCTGTTTTCTTCTCCTCTCCTCAATCTAGTGTCTCGTAACTAACCTACAATAAAGATCGTATCTTCATTCTTGAGGTTGTCACACATAATACTAATAATATTTAGCTATTGGACAATATTTCCATGAACATGATCCATCAAAAACATGGCAAGAGTAGCATTGTATGATCTACTATGAAATCCACTACAATCGTGGTATTTACCAGAAATTTGTACAATGTCCAGAATATTCCGTAATGAAACCGAATGAGACAGGAGCATTGGCATTATAAAGCCAAGGATTGAGAAACTCTTGTATGAGACCTTTATTTTCGACATATTATTTGAGAATATATCACCTGCTCCTACTATTATCGATATCTACTTCCCTGATAACAACAAGAATCAAAAAGAGCTCGTCGTCATATACTATATATATTCTATGAGTCTTGAAGAATATAACCGCGTTGAGTTTTATAAGACCCGTGGGCAAACAACGCCATTTCTCTCGAAACTATTCATGACACGTCCACATTTAGCGATAAAGGTATAGCCTTATTGTCCTCGGATGTTCGGTCAGAACTTCCCTATGCTAACGAGATTATTCGGGAGTGGATCAAGCTTAATAAATGAACCACGCCATGGGTTTATTCAACATTCATCATAAAAACAGAACATGACTTTCATATGGATTGAGGTATTAATAACCTTTTCTAACCTGGCGACTTGCGTGCACTCTCTCCTTAAGAAAATACTATCATCCGGCATGAGCTGGTTATTGCTTTTTATATACAAAGACATCCGCATCGACGGCTAAGCCTGCCAAAGGCAAGGACATTAAAAAGGATCTCAGCAAATCTGCAGAGCAAGAGCCGCCTGTGCAAGTGCACAATATCTTTTATCGGTACCTGTTAGACAACTCTCTCGCCAAACTTAACGAATTGATTAAGGGCTTTTTAGTCCCTTAATCTGTTTTGAATATTCTGTTTGGAAAACTCTCTGAAAGTCATAGACTGACGATATTATAAGGCTATAAAAATTGTTGGTATGAAGCTAAGGATTAAGAAACTTTCTTATAAGATCTTCGTCTTTTGGCAGAGTCTCCAAGTGATCATTCCACAATCCCCCTTTGACAAACTTATAGTCGACTTTATCACCGACTTGCTTAGATCAGATGATGGTCATGACCAGATCCTAATCGCTTTGGACAAATTCAAAAAGAATATGAAGAAGCTGACTGGTAAAATGACTTTTACGAAATGGTTTAGCTTAAAGTGCGGGCCGGGTTGTCGTTTTACTCTATAGTTTATTGATTGAGATCGATCTAAGTTTGGCTTGGCCGAGTTGTTGACCTCTCTAAACGATTAGAGAGCGATCAAACCATCATATCGAAGGCATTAAACGATGCCATGACAATGAAGAAATTGCGCATGGTGTCCAATATTTAGATAAATCTCATTCGAAATGATTCTTCCACTGCTTGCTTTGATAGAAACAATCCATGAATAAAACGGGTCATTGACAGATTCTATATACACCATGCTATCTGATCATATAAACCAGAATCATCATCAAGATGCCACTTCCCAACCGTAAAAGCCAAACTGCTACATACGGACAGACATGTAATGACTCTACCAAGCCAATCACCCCATCATCCGAATCACAACATAGAGCCATCCGTCCGCGTACATCGAACTCCTAACTAACTCCTCAACGGGCGTAGACATAGGCACCGCTGCGCCATGCAATACCGGTTTAGCGAGCATGGGGGTCCTGCGACTAGGGAAGAGATGCGGAAGGAGAGAGTTTAACGCGGTGCCTACAGTCTGGGTCTGTGGGGCTGGGCTACCGCGAGAGAGAGTCGCTTGGCTGGCCGCTACGCTGCCGGCCGAGAGAGTAGGAGGTACGAGCGACTGGACGACTTTTAACGAGAGGGAGCCCGAGTCAGGGGGAAGCGGGAGGAAGAGTCGAATGGGGATGTTGCGGAAAGGTTGAGAGGGAGGGGGGAGAAGAATGTTGGAGATGCGTTGGAAGGTGGACAGGTTCACTTGTCGATCTCATTAGTTGCTTTTCGTCTTCATTGACACATTTACGTCTAAGAATCAAAGGGGAGGGGGAAAATGGGGGGGAAAATGAAAAGAAAAAATACCATCCTGAACAGAATCCCACAAGCCCGACGAATCATCCTTCGAAAGACTCATAATGCCCTTAGCGTTCCCGTTACGCAGGAAATCCGCTTCCTTGACACTATTGATAAAGGTATCATGCATGACACCTCCATTGCCATCTAATTTGATGAGCTCCTCATTCGGTCGAGAAGTGAAGTGCACCACCAGCCTCCAAGGAAGATATTCGTCGTTCGAATCCGCGTCGCTGGAGTTACTCCCTCGAGACGCCGGGTCCGCTCCCGCATACAGGTCATACAACAAGCCGGCAGGGAGATGCCACTTGAGTGGAACGCTCTCAAACGAGAGCCACGCTTCGTGAGCTTCCACGTTGGATTCTATCAAAGAGCTCGAGAAGAAGGCTTTTAACCTGGGTAGTAAGAATGGTAGATATGAGATGCGCGGGTAGGAGATCTAATGGCCAGGTTAGTCGTCTAGTTCTGCAGAATGGAGTAGACAGTGGGAAGTGGTACGAGATAGGGGTCTGTCTGATCATATGTACGACTCTCCTCTGGAGCCAGGGTTATTTGTAACGGCAACCTTCCGTCCCAGACGGCTTTTTGAATGTCATTTAGAGCGGCTGAGTTCTCCATGGCGTGTGTGATTGACACCGAGGGATCTCGACTGTGACCTGTTAATCGAGCTCGCTGAGGCTAGATTCCCAGGATTGAACATACTATGAGTTACGGCGTCTTCAACCAGACCAAAACGATGGTTGTTGTGGAGCTACAAATGCAGGCGGGAATTGGAGACAACGACGCTACCCCTCGGCAGCATGATCAGAGGGCGCTTCCTCTACAGGCTCATGGGGCTCCTCGAACAGGAGGTCTCATCTATTCAATAAGTTCACAGACTATAAGGATGAGGACAGGGAATTGTGGGGATGGACGAGAAGACAAGGAGGGGGGAAGTTGCCGGAGACATTGATGGGGATTGCCTGAAAAGGGACAGCGTCCACGTGAACCGATGTGTCGGGTACCTGAGGCATCCATGGCCCACGGACCACCAACTTTCGTCATATGAGAGAAATGTGAGGACCATCCACAGGAGACCAGCAATTTAATTTTTAATTGCATCGGAGATAATGCAGTCACCAGAAGTTGAATGCGTTCAGAACATATCTCTAGCCTTCAACGGTTGGGACTGCCCTCTCTATTTACTGTCATCCATCCGCGAATAGTTAACTAAGTTGTTTATATAATCTTGACAATGATCCAGCAGGCTCCACTGTAAAGAGGAAATAGGGCTAAGTAAGAAATCAATCAGATCCAGGAGGGATTCCATTAAGAAAAGTGACTCTCAATCACACTATTCTCATTTTGACGGATTGATCTGCTCGCCTTACAGGGGTCATCTGCCATGACTTTATCATGAACATTGCGTCATTAAGCCTGCCATATCAAGCCAGGAATGCGCAGCCGGCGCATCTGTAGACTTCATCGGCATAGACAGACAGTTCATCATTCTGTCCGTGCCCAACTGACCAGGATCCACCGCCCGAATCAATTAAAGAAATGTGATAAATGACGTGGCACACCTGTTTGAGTCATGATAATCCCAAACACCAGACGTGCCTGGTTGTTCGTTTGTTTCGATGATAGCCATCCTACGAAGCCTGGTTGCCTTGAGGTTTGCCTGGTCAGAGGTGGGTATAAATGAGCTGATGCTCCACTCAAAGAACGCCCCCTCCCCTCCCCGGCGCCCTAACGCATGTTCAGGTCCTTGCATCTTGTTTCAGTTGCCCCCATATGCCTCTCTGAGTTGAGTACTAGGACTGACCGTGGGTTTGCCGTCATTGGACCACTACGCATTGGGGTACTGAGAAGAACTCCTGAGAACGATGAAATCCCGACCCCTATCAATAGAAGCCCGTCGAGCATGTCCTGAAGAGGTCACGGGGTAAACATTTCTCGACCCACAAGGGATTGAAACGTCATTCGTCATTAGATAGAATAGACAGGGTTACACAGGCTCATATCGCGATGCGGAGAGCCAACGCTGACCGATGATTGCAGTCGACTCTCAGTAAACTTTAGAATCTTAACTGACTATTGACTGAATGTCTGCCGTTGAGATACTGGGATGTGCCCGACAAAGCGGAGAAACTAGAAGAAGAGTAAACAGCAAAAGGTAAAAGTAAGGGTCTTCATTCAGTTTCAAATCGTTGTCTGATTCTCCAATCCTTTCACGGGAATGTTTTGGGGGATTTATTTCGACGAGAAAGGACTCATACCAATCTAATGATCATCGAAAGGACACAGTGTGGGTCTGACTGGCTGGTCGGAATTTTTTCCATGGTCCCCCGATTTTGGCAAAAGGGCAAAAAGCCGTAGTAGTAGCCAACCGATCGCCGTATCCCGTAACCGTAACCTGTATCGCCTGGTTACAATTCGAATCTCAATCCAGCATGGTCATTCCAGTCAGTTCATCTTGGAAGCCAGAGGGGCATAAAGTAACGTCGAAAATAGTTGATTTGTTTCGTGTTCAAGAGCTTTAGGATAAGGCAAAGCTGGCCATCTCCAGGGGAGCCGATCGGAGTCTTCCGTCGAAGCCGCATCCACTGTAGTTTGAACTCAGCCAAGATTGCACGGTTAAATTAGATATCCAAAGGCTGCTAAGACCTTGCCCCGTTATCCCCGGCCAAAGTCGGGAAACTCGGAACGTATTCTGAATTCATCTGGGAAATAGATCTTTGCACTGTCACCTGTTCCACATGCGTGGAGAAGTGTAGAGACCGTATGAAGACATCCCGGGGGGTGGGCCTCTCGGAGACATCGGTTGTGATTTGATAGCCTGATGGGGGGCGCCTTCTGTGTCTTGTCCTCGGGGTCCTTTAAGAACCAAAACGCCGAACGCCGAGACAAAAATCTAGAGGACTTGGATCAAAAAGATTATTGGTGCCTGTGCTTACAGGCACGGCGAACACCCACAAATACCTAGGGCAGAAGCCGTTGCATGCCGAAGGCACAATCACCTGAAACCGAGTCATGGAGGCTAGCGGACTGGCTCATGCAGAAGCACAAGCCTGCATTCTTTTAGTTTTAAGTGTCAAAGTGATCGGGAATTGATGCCGACGGGCAAATTGGTGGCTCCGCTGTTTCGTTTGGGTCCTAAAATAGACCTTGGTCATAGCTTCTCCCACATGGTTCTCGGCTTTGAACGGTACAGAGAGGAATACGAGCAAGCCGAGCATCTTGGCCTAGGCTCCATGAACCTTGTGTAACACACCGTTCCTTGAACTGGGAGATGATCCTGGATTGAAGAGCCGGACTGCGCTCCACACCGGAAAAGAAAAAGGAAAAACGGGGGAAAGGGTACGCACACATCACTGCAATGGCTCGGAACACCGAAGGAGATGTTTGCCGTCTCAATGTTAGGCAAAGCCGTTGGGGTGTACTCATCAGCAGCTGGCGTAACCTCGTTCCTCACGCTTGACGTAAGATTGCGGATTCTAGGAGCTGTCTCACATCTGCTCTGCGGCCATATCGTGGGGTGACGGCCGTTCGTCATGCCCAACTTGGAGGCTAAGAAAGGGGGCGTGGATTAAGACAGGAGTTATGCGGGAACGGCAAGACAAAAACAGACAGCTTATTCCCCGGAATTCAAGTAGCCTGTTTCGAATTGATTCATATCACCCCCTTTCAAGAAAGATCGACGCGATGCAGTTCAGTTACCGATGCGCACTATGTACGCCCGGCGGCTGTACCTACAGAACATGGCCGTGATCGTGTCTGCGGATTTGCTCGCTCAGTCATCGCATTGATTTGCCATGATGGTTGGTACAATCTAGCGATGACAACGCCGACTGATGTTGGATTCTTTCTGGACTAGCGTTTCACCAACCATCAACCTTTTTTTTTAAACTCGAGGTCCATGCAGCTGCCATAATTCGGGCCGGTTCAAGACGTCGCGGTCTGAAGTCAAAGACCACGCGGGGCGGCATGCTTGGCAGTCATGAAATTATGAGATGAGGAACCTGACCGGTCAAGGGGGAAATGAGGTAATATCCGTTGAAAGGACTAGCCTAGGTTACCGTAGGAATGCAGATCGGAGTTCCTCGCCCCAAAGCGAGCAGCCCTTCAAACAGAGACAGCCCTGGCGGAGTGAGCCGATAAGGTTGCTGGATTGGCGCCGCTTGGGCCAGGCGTGCCTTGCATGTTTAACAGTGGAGCCCATGCACCCCGTGTCAATAGCGCAACAGCGCTATGTAGCAAAAAGAATAATCAAGCCCATCGAGATGGTGACTGATCCGGAAACTCCGACGTAAGACATCGCCATCTCGTTTATTGGGGAATTTCTTGTGACCTCGCGGAGGAGTCACCGCAGAAGACATCATGGTCGAGAATGTACTTGGAGACCGTGTCCGGATAGGGTTTGTTTCAAGCCTTCAATCGCGAATCGACGAGACCATTTCAGGTGCCAAGACGAGGGCTGCAGCACGCCCCTTTTTGCGTCGGATTAGGCATCCGCTCGCCCAAAATCACTAGATATGCGCCATTGCAGCCGGCACTTACGGTACATCCCGGCTCCGTGGTAACCCATCTTCAGAGCAAACTAGTACAGTAGCTGATCCTGTCGTAGTTCGCACAGGACACACATAGAAGGCCCCAATCGATACATGTTTGCGTATCTCCTAATTTCCACCGGTCGGAAGGACTGGTCCTATTAATGGGAGGAAACCAATTTGCTTTTTCGGGGCTGATCGCAGGTCATCGGTGCGCCGCATAATTAACACCCTTTTGACTGGTAAATATTTCTCCCTTTCCGAGAGTAAAGGCACTTTTCAGGGGAGTGAGGCTTAGCTTGAATGCCTTTTTTCAGTAATGCACTCGCTGATCGTGAGATTAAAGGGACATTGCTCAGCCCCAGGTGCCCAAATGGACATGTTCCGTACATTCCTAGGGGCTGTGACGATGAGAAATTTTGGTGAAGGGCAATGGGATGTAATGATCGATCAGTATTTTGACCAAATAGCGGAGCAAACGATCGTGCCTTTTTGTGTGGCTCTTCCACTATGAATTGCTTGTTTTCGCGTTTACTCAATTATTGCTTTCATTCATTCATTCATCTTTTCCCCCAATTTCTTCATCGGAGAAGTGTAAGAGAAAGAGAAAGACTGGTGGATGTTCTGCACGATACATGCATCTTGCAGAAGAACGCATTGTTAGCCTGCAAGGTATGAGGGTAATCCATGCATTACTGCGAACCGGACACGGAAAATGGAACGTTAGCATAGCTATAGCTGTCGCAGATCCTCACTCGAAAGGGTAAATGAAGGGGTAAAAATAAATAAAATTTCAAGAGTCCAGAGAGATGCAGGAGCACGGAGATAGATGGATGAGGCTGTGCGTAAACCACTTCGATGTGATCAACCACGTTTGCCCACCTAAGTTCAGTCTCAGCCGATCATCTAAACGGTTTCTACCCTCGATCTCTCCCTCATTCTGAACTATGACATCGTAAGACTGGGTGCACCATGGGTTCCAAGGAGAACTGGGGTCTAGACTCGTGACGAAGCTTTCAGTCTTGGGCGTAGAAATCTGATGTCGAGGTTTCAGCCTTAACCCCTTCATGAACGGTTCGTACATCGCAT